ATTCCAGCCTTCCTAGCCCACTTAAATAGGGTGGGAAAAACAACTAGTGAAGCTGACAGTCCTAAGGCAAAGACTCATCAAAAAAGCCTAATCATAAGACTATAAACTGCTTCCTCTCTCCCTGCATCTTACCACTACATTGCTAATGGTCTCTTTACAGCAATTTCTTTGATCCAGTATAGTGTGTTTAACTAGTGATAAAAAACTACAAGGCATGTAAAAAAGCAAAATAACATAATTTGAATCAAATATGGCAGGGATTTGGGGAGTGTCAGAAAATGATCTTAAACCACTGTGATTAACATGTTCAAAGCTCTAGAAGATACACAGGGCAGCATACAAGAACAGATGCACAAAGCAAGCAGATAGGACTTCCACGAAAGAACTAAAAAGAAAGTAGAGGTAAAAGAACTCTAAAACAGAAATGAAGAATGCCTTTTATTGTAGACTGACATAACTCAGGACGACTCCACAGTGGAGGTTACCTCCAAAACTGAAAAGCAAGGAGCAAAGATTGTAAAAAACAGATCAAAATATTCAAGGACTATGAAACAACTACAAAAAAAAACGTAACTTAAGTGAAAGGACAGGGGTAGAAAAAGGAGAGACAGAAAGAAATTAGAAATACTTGAAACCACAATGACTAAGAATTTCCTCAAACAAATGTTAGATACCAAACCACAGATCCAGGAAGCTCAGCATGTAAATGCCAAAAAAAGACAAAACTAAACTAAACCTAACCACATTATATTCAATTTGATTCAGAAAATCAAGATGGGATGGGGGTGGGGGGATCTGAAAGAAGGAAAATAACACCTGCCTAGAGAGGAACAAAGATAAGAGTTAAATTCAACTTCTCAGAAAACATACAAGCAAGAAAAAAGTGGAATGAAATGTTTAAAGTATTAAGAGTAAAAGCCATTCAACATAGTTTTCTGATTTCCATGAAGTTATCCTCCAAAAGTAGAATGAATGAATGACTTTCTTAGACAAACAGAAATTGAGAGACTACATTGCCAGTAGCCAAACCTTGCAATAAGTATTTTTTAAAAGTTCTCTCGGATGGAAAATAATATAGGTCAGAAACTCAGATCCACATAAAAGAAAATAGAGCATTAAAGAAGGAATAAGTGAAGATAAAGTACAAACTTTTATTTTTCTTATTTTTAACTGACCTAATACAAAATAGTCTATTCAAAATAATAACAATGTATTCAATTGTGTATGCTTAGATATATAGCTATGTAGGTGTAGTATACTTGTATACATATATAGTATGCTTATACTGTATATAATAGTATATAGTGTAACAGAGAAGAGCAACAAATATGGTAGATATTAATCTAACTGTATCAATTGCTTTGAACGTCAAAGATCTGAACACACCAATTGAAAGTCTGAGTACACCAATATATAATTAAAAACCCTTCCATTTACATTAGCAGCTCCCCAAATGAAATACTTCAGTATAAGACCTATGTCAGGAAAACTCATGTATAAAATCTTTATGAGGAAAATTATAAAATGCTCATGAACAAACCCAAAGTACTAAATAAAAGGAGAGGTATCCTATGTCCATAGATAGGAAGACTCAATAGTGTCAAGATATCATTTCTTCTTAACAAGATCTAATAATTCAAGGAAGTCCCAGCCAAAAGTTTTTGTGGATATTGAGAAACCAGTTTTAGAGTTTATATGCAATGGCAAAAATACCCAGAATAGCTAACACAATATTGAAGGAAAAGAACAGAGTCAGGGAACTGGCTATACCTGACTTTAAGGCTTACTATCAAATTGCAGTAATCATGATAGTGTGGTATTAGCAAAAGAATAGACAAATAAATTAGCAAAGACTCGACAAATAGATCAATGGAACAGAATGGAGAGTCTAGAAGTAGACTCCCATAAATAGAGTTAGTTGCTCTTTGACAAAGGAGTAAGGGTAATACAATGGTGCAAAGATAATCTCTTGAACAAAGGGAACTGGAGCAGCTGTATATCCATACAGTGACTGTGGACTTAGATCTTACACCTTCACAAGCATTAACTCAAACTGGAACACAGACCTAAATGTGAAATGCAAAACTAAGGAACTCTTAAAAGAGAACATAAGAGAAAACCTAGCCGACTTGGGGAATGGTGATTATTTTTCGGTACAGTATCAAAGGTACTGTCTATAAAAGAACTAGATTCTATTAAAATTTTCTGCTATGTAAAATACAATGTCAAGAGAATAAGAAGACAAGCTAAAGACTGGGAGAAATATTTTGCAACAGACAAATCTGATAAAGGGATGTCATCCAAAATGTAGAAAGACCTCAAAACTCAAAAAATAGGAAAACAAAAAATCCTAATTAAAAAATGGCTCAAAGGTTTTAACTGACTTTAACCTCACCAAAGTGGATATACAAATGGTAAATAAAAGAAGCTCCACGGCCCTATATCTTTAGGGAAATACACCAATGTATCAACAAATCAAAACAACGGTGAGATACCATCTCTCACCTATCACCATGCCTAAAATTCAGAACACAATAGTACCAAGTGTTGGGGAGGGTGTGGAACAACAGGAACTCTTATTCATTCCTCATAGGAATTGAAAATGGTACAGTTCCTTTGTTGATTTCTTATGAAACTAAAAACATCCTTACCAAACAAGGATGTAAATTATGGTATCATGCTTTTAATTTGCATTTCCCTAATGGAAAATGATATTGACTATCTCTGCATGTGCTTATTTGTCATCCTTTGAGGAAATGTCTGTTCTCACCTTTTACCCATTTTGAAAATATGTTTTCATATTGCTGAGTTTGAGAATTATTTGTATATTCTGGATACAAGTCTTTTTTTATATATGTAGTTTCCAAATACATTCTCCTAGTCTTTATCTTACATCTTCATTCTCAAGATGGTATCTTTGGAAGAAAAAAAAGTTTTAAATTTGATGAAGTCCAATTTATCAATTATTTTCTTACATGGATCATCTGTTTGGTTTCATTTCTAAGAGCACATTACTTAAGCCACAAGAACTTATTCCATGTCTCTTTTAAAACCTTTATGCTTTTCATTTAGATCTAAGATCCATTATGAGTTACTCTTTATATAAGGTGTGTGCTTTATATCAAGATTTATTTCTTTTCTTTTGGATGACCAATTGTTCCAACACCCATTAGTTGAAAAGAATATCTTTTCTCCCACTGAATTGTGTTTACACTTTGTCAAAGATCAGATGGCTGTATTTATGTGAGTCTGTTTCTGGACGTTCTATTTTGTTCCATTGATCTCTGTTTCTATATCTTCTCTCTGGGTCTCTTTTAACTATTAAAAATAGACAAATTTGTCATGTGTCATGAGCAATGTGGGGAAGGGAGGAGAAGTCCCTTGTATGCCCAAGAACTAGCAATGATTAACTTTCTTCCACTCCCTAATTCAGCTATCACACAAACAGGTGACCAACTCAATAAAGTCACCAGGTAGCTGGGTGGTACAACAAATTATTGAAACCAGACCTCTCTCTGCTTCCTACACCGCCTTCCTCACTCTGAGTGTTTTCCTGGTAGTGCCAGATGAAAAACATGCCTCACTTGACCTCAGGGGAGAAGGAAGAGACTTGTATTCTGACTTAAGGAAAAGTTCCAAAAGAAAATACAGCTCTTTTTACCAAATAGGAGAGATAAAACAGGAAACATGTCTTGCTATTTAATTTTAAAATAAAGAGTCTTCCAAGTCTTAATGAGAGTTTTATTAAAACCCCAACTGATTTCTGTTAAAAATAAGATTCTGGGTGGCCTTCCAGAATAGGTCATTTAAATGAGAAAGATACAGAGTGATATTCCAACGCCTGAACATATGGATGACAGACACATAGAGAGAGGGAAATAAATTTAGGGAGGCTCTCATCCCCTGTCCCAAACTGAGATTATTGAACATATATACTATTTTGTCAGCTAATATAGGGCATCTTTGCTACAGATAAAACCAGACATGACAACACTATTTCTCATTATTTCTTTCCATCATAGGCTGTATGTGGTGGTTGGGCCACTGGTATTATAGAAATACACATGTTTTGAGATCTTCGACTTCTCTTTTAGGATGTATTAGGATAATAATTGCAGCTAAGATATAATGTAGTTTTATTGAAATGGACAGAGGAAGCCATGAATTTTACAAGGATGAATGCATGTTTGGATTCCAAAATCTTGACGGCATTTTCTAAGTGTAGGGCAGATTCCCAGCCATCCTGATAGTTCCAGGCTGTCATTTTTTTTTAAGATTTATTTATTTATGCATGGACTGGGGCACAGGCCAGAGGTGTGGGGGGTGGGAGGATTCACCAGAGAGAGAGGGGAACAGAACAGGCAGATCTACTGACATACACTGCGGAGGGGAGCAGCGGGTGAGTCAGGAGAGGTCTGCTGTGCCATGTGGGTAGCTCCCTGGCCAGGGATCAAACTCATGCTGCAGTGGCTGGAAACAGCTTTGATAGCATTGTCTTTGACCCCTGCACCACCAGGGAGCCCCCTAGGCTGTCATAACTGAACTGATTTTCATCAGGTACAAGCACAACTTATCCTGTTACTTTGTTTTGAGTTTGTTTTTCTGAATTTTTCCAAGGGACATTTCCCTAATCCTTTCCATTTTTGTTAATTCTTCTCCCAAACGAACCAATCACTTTATTTTATGTCTATAGTAGGACTAGATCAGACTGATGAGAGGACAGGAGAGTGACTCTCTGGTACAATTGTGCAGACATAGTAAAAGATCTTACCCAGGACTTAAGACTAAGAGAATCACTCACATACATTAAAAGGAGGATCTTTTTTTCCTTTGGGAAGAAAATGGAGTATGAAGAGAGGTATTTATTAAGGCCCTCTCCAATGCCTAGTACCATGCTAACTTCTTTTATATCAGGCCTTTCTATAAAAGCTGACAGTCATTTCAGAGTTCACAGGTACATGTATGAAATTAAATTTATAATTTATAACTGATTTTATAGATCACAAATTTATTTTACTCTAGGAATTTCACTTTAATGTTTAATGCCATTAATTAGATATTCACCACTGTCTGTATTGCAGTAAGTTGTGTGTTAGGTGCTGCTGTCACTGGAGAGACAGCAGATGAGGTCCTGCCTCGTTGCTGATTGTGGGGGTTTCTTGCTAACACAGACAAGGAGCTCTGTCTGGTCCTCTGAGCTGTAAGATTAGAGTCACCTCAGGATGAAAGGAAATCCTAGAAAGGAGAAGTCTAGAGTTGTATCGTTGGTGAACTTCAACAAATTTGCATATTTAAGATTGATTTGGATCAGCCCTTCTGGGGACAAAATCCTGGCCACTGGGAAAATAGTAACTCCTCTGTTGGTGAACCAGGTGACACCATCTTGCCAGGATCTCTCACCTGGATGCTTTAAGTTTTCAAATACCTTGTTAAACTGCCTTTAAAAAACAGTATCTTGATCCTCACAGCAGAAATTGAGGCAAAGCTGCTATACATGTATTTGCTTGCGTTGAGTGTGAATCACACGGAATGAGAGTATTTATTTTCTGAGAAAGGAAGAGAATATGAGTTAACTCTGAATCCCCCCCAGTGGCCCCAAGAGCGCCCTAGGCAGACAGTTGCTCAATAAATATTTGCTGATCCAGTATCCAATTAGCCAGAGATCTCTATCTACAAAGAAGGTTTGTCTTTGCCAACCAGTCGGCAAGCCTGGATTTGTGGGACTGCCCCATCTTTGGAACCTTTGCCCGTGAGGAGCTCTTTCATGCAGTAAGGAGCTGGGCTGTGCACACACAGGCCCCTCTTTCCTGGCATAGGAACCAGGCGAAATTGACTGTAGTCAGCTCCTAAGCTCATGCTTCTTCCTCTCTGCCAGGTATCTCTGTCAGCCTGTCCATTGCTCCCCCTTCTCACATCTGGCAACAGCTCCGGGCTCCATTGCGAGAGGAGTTCCAGAACACTCTGATTAGCTGCCCGCCCGGACAATCAAGGTAGGGCATCCGCGGGCTCAATATGGTGAAAGTTGTGCATGGAATGACAGGTGTCTGGGTAACCTGAGGATGGATGGAAAAGCCACACCTGAGGAAGGAGCCCCTGGAGTTAATGATTACAGCCACAGCAGGAGGAAGGACAAAAACAAGAGCACGTGGGAGAGAGAGGAGGAATTTGGTGCAGCTGGAAATGAGGGGAGAGAATTCTGACTTGCAAGAAGTTCAGAGAGAGAGGCTCTTGTTCTGTTTGTGGAAAAACTGACAGTTTGGAATGACTGGCCGATGGTCAGGAAGCCAAGGGAAGAGGATTCTGAAACACTGGGAGCATTTGAGATGAAAAGAAGGATGTTTGGAATTACAAATAGAAAAAACTGGAAAATCCGAGCAGGATGGGGGAGGGGTCGCCACTGATTGGCCTCAGTCTGCAGATGAGATGCTCACCAGGCCTTGGGGCGTTGCACTGTGGGCTGGGACTCCTGGGGGGGGGGAGGCGGAGCCACAGTTGTCTGGCCTCTGAGGAGGCTTTCAATGGGGCAGAGGATGGGCCAGTATGCAAATGACGAGGCTCCCGGAGTGGCAAGGCCCAGGCACCCCACAGAAGCTGAGCACTCAGAGGGAGCCCTCCCGGGAGGGTTTGGGCAGACACTTGCCTCTGCAACAGTTCTCAGAAATGAGCTGGCCTTCCAGAAATGCTGTCATTTCTTGAAATCACCTGATAGCAGACTCTGATGTTTACCTGGCCATTGTGAATTTTTTTCTTTTCTATAATAAATCCAGCCCCAGCCAGCCAGACTGGGAATTTACTGCCTGAGCGGTTTTCCAACATGGTTTTGCTGGCAAAAGCAGACGTGAGTGTTTCCTCAACTCTCAAGGGGCCTGTTTACACTGCTTTATTTTTACTGCCAGCTTTCAAGTGGGAAGAGGGAGATTATATTTAAAGGTCAGCAGGTGAGCAAGGGATCCGGTGCTCTCGTTCCTGGGTGCCTGGTGCAAGTCTGCCTGAGCCCCTGTGCCTCTGCTCTGCATTTTCTGCATTTCCTTTGGGGAGAGGGAGCTTTCCACGTGCAAACTGTGCTCATCTGCCTGGCAAGACTGACCACTGGTTTGGGGGCGTCATGATGGTGCCTGGCTGGTTGTTTGACAGTTTCCTGTTTGTTTATTGTAAAGACAGTAAATCAAGCTTTGGGATTTTCTGGGTTAGAGGGCAGGGGATATTTACTGTCAACAGGCTAAGCACAAGTTGATATAAAATCCTGCCCTCCGTGTTCATCTGGTACCGCACAAGAGCAAAAGAGGTGGGCAGAAGCCAATGGCGGGGCATTTCTGACTTGACTGGAACTTTTAAGTATTTGCACGGGAACAACAACCTGGAAATGGCCCTCTGGCCAAAGCCCCAGTTAAGAGAGCTAAATGGAGTAAAATGAGGTTGGACTCGAATCCAATTTCATCGACTCTCCTTTTTGAATATTCTCTCTCTCTTTTTAAAATTCTCCAAAGAGTGACAGATGTATGCTGACACTTGAGAAATTAGAATTTGAGTGAAGAATCGAGAAGGCAAGCCTCTGGTCCATGTGCACACGCCCTGGGAACGTCAGCACCCAGAGACGCCCCCCGGCGCGGGTCCCGGGTGGAAGCAAGCCGAGAAGCCGCTGTCTGCTCAGAACTGCACAAGAAGCTATGAAATCCCTGACTGCAGAAAACTTCGAAGATTGTCTGCTGAGTAAGGTGAGCACAGCCTGGGCTCTTCCACACAGCTCCTCACCCTCCTCACCACCCCTCAGGCTTCTCATCCCTTCTCTCTCTTCCTTACCCCTCCACACCCCAGACACTCCCCCACCCTACCTTCCACACGCTTCCTTGTCCCTCCTCACCCCTCCAGTCCTGCTACTGCACCAACCTGATTCAGGAAAGAACTTCAGGCTACTTCCAGCCACACACAAATGCTCCCCAGGAAGCCAAGGCCAGCTCTGTACTGGTCTTTAGGGACTTACTCCCCCTCAGTCCTGTCTTTGAGGCATGCTGGGTGCCCAGTGTGGGGTGAGGACAGGGTGTGGGCTGGGGCTCCAGCCCGGGGCCATGCTGGTGTGGGTGTGATAATAGGATGGCAGTGGGGTCGCTGAAAGAGAGGAAATGCAATGGAGGCAAAGATTTTGAAAGCTATAAAACTGTTGGATTAAAAAATATGTCGGTATATTTTTAGTGTACATTAATTAGGAACTAATTTAATTCCCCTTTATAGGCTCTTAGAATGTTGAATATTATCTACTTAATACTATCTAATTTAATAAGCTTTTCCATTTGGTGCTACGAGGGCACAGAGCCACCCTTTCAACAAAATCATTTAAATTAAGATTTAGGGGCTGATTTAGGGCTTTCATGCCTTAACATCAACAAAGCAGAGGTCATTATCAGAGTGACCAGAAAAGTTGATTTATTAGGCAAACCCATGGAGAAAGATAAACAGGGGACACTTACATGATAAAAATCATAAACAAAATGACTTCCAATCATTTCTCCTTTGGGGACCTCTAGATGGAAGGAATGTCGGCTGGCATTTTCTCACAGTCCTGTGCTTTCTGAAAAAAAAAGAAAAGAAAAAAAAGAGTCCAAATATTTTAGCCAGGCTTTCAGAGAATGCTCTATCTTTCTCCCCTTTAATTCCCTACACTGCCAATAGCAGAATTCTAAACATTGAATCCACCCTGTACACGCATTTTCTTTGGCCTGCAGAGTATGTTACATTATTTAAATTTATTACAAACATTTCAAAACAGCAACATTTTGCATAGAAATCCTGATTCCTGTCTTATCTGGAAAAGGAAAACTCAGCAAATCTAGTAACTGCAGAGCCCAGTTTCCTGCCTGGCAACCAGGGGCTGCAGCTGAGAGCCTGGTGGCCAAAAGGGGCTCACTTCAGGGTTCAGGGGCCAAAGCTGGGGGCCTGGCACATGCCCCACTCCCTTCCTTGTTCCTGTGGGGCTCCTGCTTTGCCTGCATTGGTTGATGCATCTACTACTCTTGCCTCATAAGAAGTACCCCAGGTCTCAGGCCCTAACTCCATCCTCCCCACTCCCAGGGGAGAGATCCTCTCTCCCCTCCACTTCTGTGGCTTACACACTTTCAAACTCAGCTCAGCACCCACTTTCTCAAGAAAGATTCCCTGACTGCCCAGCACAAAATGTTCTCGCTCTGCCATGAACCCCATCATAATCATTACTGACCGTGTTTATGTAGTGAGCCCTGGACAGCTTCCCCTGATGCTCTTGGGTGGGACCTGACATACTATATTGTTCTGTTCCTTGGAAGGTTCTGGAGGAAAGCATGGTGCCTTGCTATTTTTATTCCTCTTAACATTCACATGTTATCTTTGCCCATGTGTGGTGTGTGGTGAGAATCATCTTCAGGGTTGGCTGAAGATAATGCACAAGTAGGATAAGGTGCTGCCAACTGTGACGGACACAGAAGCTCGTTACTCTAATCATCAGCAAGGCGACAGGGCCTGTGACCTTCATTTTTACACAGGAGCAAACAAAAGCCCGTGTGGATTAAATATCTTGTCCAAGTCACAGAGCTAGATCATGCTGAGATTTCAGTGTTGTCTTTCACTTTAGAGCCACATTTCCTCTGCTCACCCTTGTCTGTATTCCCATAAACACGCTCTGAACACCTGCGTTGTGCAAAACACTGCACCCAAAACACAGGCCCAGCATGTGGCTGGCTAAGTGAGAATTCCGGGGTTTGGAGTACTTTTAATGGGGAACTAACCCACCTGCAGCTTTTTCACTTAAGTCCAAAGGTAAAAGGTGGAAGTTCCATGTTTGGGCAGACAAATGCTTAATGCAATACCTGGCAAGCCTTAAGACTGCAATAAAGGGAAAACAAAACAAAACAGAGAAAGAGGTGTGGGAAGCCTTAGGGCATGCGGAGGGTTTAATAGAGAAAGGGTGGGGGAGGTGGCTTCCAGCCTATGGAAGCCCCCTTTAGGCATCTAGGTGAGTTTTTTCTGTGGCCTTCCCCTTGGGGAGGGAGAGACAGGGCATGGCCTTGAACATGGACTTCAGAATCCCCACTTCCTGAGCTGGGTCCCTGGGCAAATTCCTTACACTTTCTGAATTTTAGTTTGCTTATCTGTGAAATGGGCACCATTATAGTATCTACCTTAAAAGATTATATAAGGCACTGGCCCTTTTGAAGACCCCTGCATGAGGGCAAGCTGGTTGGTCTCTGCTGCTCAGTGCCCCTGTGGTTAAGCCCCTGCCACGTGTGAGGTCCACAACCCCCATGCAGCCCAAACATCAGCTTTATGGGAGAGTTAGTCTGAAATGATGGGCAGATGATGTGACTTGGACTTGTCTGTGTCCACCCTTTAAATTATGAACTCCTGGAAGACAGAGACTGTGTCTGTATTTAACAATAAACAAACAAAAAAACCCTTTGATTATTGGATTTAATGCAACTCAGCATTCAAGTCTGAATTCCTGTTGTCTGAAGTTCTCAGCTTTTTCCCCCGTAACATTAGCACAGACCACATGCTCAGGGGGGTAACCAGGCCTGCGTGAACATTCCTGGCAAGCAGTTCTGTGTTGCCGCTCAACCCCTTGCTCAAGAAAGCACATGAGAATGCATATGAGTCAGAATGATGTTATTATCAGGAATAACCTTGAATTCTTATTAATTTGTATTTGCAACAGTAAATTGTCTACAAACTTGAGCTATTTATAGCAGTAAGTGGCACATAGGACAGTGGACCTCACCCTGTGGATGGGAGGAGAAGCCAGTAGTCTGTAGGGATGGGGGCATGTGTGGCCACGTGGGTGTGCCCTGCAAGAGGGGCTCCCCCAAATAGATGGCACTTTCTTTTGATTTCTTATCAGATTTAGTATGCAGATGTGAATACAAGTGCCTTTGGGAGAGGACTCTCAAGAATTGCTTTATTTTGGCTTTTATTTTTGAAGAGAAAAACAAAGAAAAGCAAAAGCAAAAAATACCCCCCACCACCCTACATCTGCCTGTCACTCCTCCTAATCTCAGTTTCATGATCAATGTCTATTAGTTGATTTTCATTTTGTTTTTACCAGTTCATTTACTTTGTTTCCTTATATTCCCGATTAGGTGAAATAATTCAATATTTTTTTTTCATCTTTCTGGCTAACTTCGCTTCACATAAACCCCTCAAGATTCTTCCACTTTGCTGCAAATGGCCAAATTTCATCTTGGCTTATAGCTGGGTAGAATTTCATGGCGTGTCTATCCGGCATCATTTATCCAGTCTTCTACCAGAGGGCACATGTATATAAGCTACAGGGTTGGCACTTCCCAAGGGTGCCTCTGATGACTGTTTTGCATTAATGCTGCTTAATTGCAATGATGAATTTGCATGCTGGCAAGCTCTGCATTGCTTCTCTGGGATAGGTGCAATGGAAGGGTTGGGCTAGAAGACCGAACCATGTCTAGCATTGTGTGCTTGGTTAATAAAATTCATTTTTTCCCTTTGCCCTGATATAGCTACAAATGCAATTTTTAAAAAGAAAAACATACCTTTGTTCACCTGGGGGTGAGGTCTGAACAGGCACTGATCAAACTTGGATTGAATGTGTTTTGATTCTGTCTTCTTAGGTGATCATATGCTCTGCCTTAGATTTCTTTCCGAGTTTTGCCATGAAGAAAATCTGATGGCAAAGCTGCCCTAAGTCTGCAACTGGTGTCTTGCTTGAGAGGCAATAGAGGGATTCTGGGTTCAACTTGCAACAGATCTCAACTTGGGATAGAGCCTCTTCTTTCACCACAATCAAATCCCTCTCTGCCAAGTGGCCTCAGGCCCCAAGCCCTCCTTTTCCATACCCTAAAATAGAATCTTCTTCTTCTATCCTGCTTGACCATAGTTAGGACAATAGGAGGGAACAGCTTTGGGTTTCTGGGTTATGCATAACCTGCAGTTAAGAGCCACAAAGGACTGAGCCTGGGAAATTCCAGCACAAAACCCTCCACACTGCTAAGTGGCTGAGAGCCAAATAGGCAAGAACCAACTGTAGGAGGTGAGACCAGGATTGTGGGCAGGAAGAGGCTGCCCGTCACCTAACAGACTCCAGTGGCAGCGCTTGATGGCTCAGGCCTTTGCCAGGGCAGGCTCTCATGCACAACCATTGTCAAGTCCTGCATCGATGCCGAGCTCTACCTTATCTGTTGTCTTTATGTGCCCCTGAAATCCAGCACAGTCAAGGATGCCCAAGTAATGGAGACTCTGGACTTTTTATTTCACCAGGCTTGCCCCCAGTGGAGGGCATGTTTGGGTTCGGGAAGAGGGCAGAGAGGTATTCCCACTGGGGCTTCTCCTGGAGGGTGTGCCACACCAGGAGAAAGGAGTTGCTTTAGGTCCAGTTTTGTTAATGGCCTGTGTGACGTCAGGAGAGCCACCTTGTCACTCTGGCCTTCGGTAAAGTCACACCAGACAAGTTTCTGAGATCCCTCCCAATTCTAAGATCCTCAGCAGAAACAATGAAGGAAGAAAATCCAAACCAGAACCTGTGGCTCTAGGCCCCCCAAAATATTCCCTTATTCTGATTTTCATCTTCAGTAATCAAAACAGGCCATAAAGATGAGTTGCTAACCCTGTGTAATGAGGGAGAGATTACAGGTGTCTTCCGAGTAGTGTGTGGTCTTGTCCTGCCCAGTGAGAAAATTCCACCATCTAGGGAAGATACAGCTTATAGAAGAGAGAACTTTTCCCAATAGGCAACTCATTGCGTGTGTGTGTGTGTGTGTGTGTGTATACATACACAGACACACATACTTTCTCAAGATTTTATCAGTTAAAAGTGACTTGATGGCATCCATAGGATGATGAATCTTTTGTAGGGTTATTAACTCAGGAAACAAAAGCTTTCAGCACTGTCCTGTGGACTCACCAATGGACTTGGAGATCTTGAGGGTTAACTTTTGTCTTTCTCACATTCTGAGAAATGAATTAGTGGAGAATACTGTTTCCCACTGCTCTGACGGCCATGTCCTGCCTACTAGCCCTGCATTTCCCTGCTCGACGTGATCAGATTTCCGGTCCCTGAATTGTATCCCAGTATCCACCCAAGAAGCTTTGTCTGTTCTCCGCCCCGGCTGGAGAACATGGCCTCCCTCCTTCTTTCATCTTTCTGCAGATCTTGGCCAGCCAACTCTGATCTCAGCTCCTCAGCTGTTGGTTCCCTTTGGAGGGCTGAGGTCCTGCAGCCTCGTGGACCCCTCTGTGCTGAGTCTTGGGCTGCCTGGAATCTCAACATCAGCACCCCTAAAGTCCCTAGTTGCTTCAAGAAGCTATTTCAGCAGCCTGTCGCCCTAAGGCCCCTACCATCTCCTCTCCTCCTCATCTCAGCACGCTGCCTTGTCTCCTACTCTATAAAAGAAAAAGGTTATCAGACAGGAAATCACTCCAGTTCCTACCATTTCCTTCTGTCTCTATTTGCACCGGCTTTCTTTCCTTTTGACACTCAGAGGTAAATTCCTGTAAATTCCTCCCGGTGTTTCTGGATTTGCATAAGTCTTCCTGACCGGGAAATCCTTGCTCGGTGGTTTTGCTCTCTGCTGCCTCTTCCTTCTCCACGGACTCTTTTCTCTCAGCCATTAAACATGTTCAAACTGGTGTGTTCCTTTGAAACAAAACAAAACACAACTGTTAGCGTCCTTGGTTTTCATGTTCTGTCCCTAGCCAACCTTCTTGGAAAAGTTGTTTGACTCTTTCTTTACTGCTGTGTCCCATTCACTCTCAACCCTCTGCAGTCTGGCTTAGTGCCCACCGCTTCCCCGAACACATCCCTCATCTTCCAGGCTCCTGGGACATTTTCCAGGTCTTAAGCCACTTACTATTGACTTTGTTCTCAAAGTCCTTCGTCCTTTCTTTTCTTAAAACCTCTTGCTCCTTGTTCTCCCACATCACCATTCTCCTGCAAGGTAAGCTGCGCCTACAGTGTATGGACAATTTCAGTTCCCCCGTCTCCTCATGCTAGATATCTGCCATTTTCTAGATTTTTCCAGAGCATTCTTCATGCTCTTCTCTTTCTAAGCTACTCCTACTAATCTTTCAAGATACGACTCCGTACACTATGCCAACCTCCAAACTAATGGAGTTCCTTCTCTGTGTTCCCATAGCATCTTTTGTAAACCTCAGCCCAGCACCAGATTGCTGTGGATTTAACTGCCTGTTTATTTGTCTTGCCTTATTATCTCATCTGTCAACACCTTGACAACATGTATGCCAGACCAGCAAAAAGTGGTCAAACAGAGTTGAATCCCAGCCAATGGGAGTCCCTTGCTCACAGGCCTCTGAAAGCATTTTCTTTCATGTTGACATGGCGAATGGCCAGCCCCTCTCTTCCACTGTGTGGAAGAGAGGGGTGTGGCCACCTCTCTCTTCCACTGCTAACTCTGAAAGATGCAGAATCTTGATCATTTACAAATCGGCCCCTTACCCCATGGCCAGCGTAGCAAGATGGACATACGAAGAGGGGTGAGTGGCTGCTCGTGGCAAAAAGGTGATATTAAAAGTCACCATAGACGTGATCAATCTATTTAAGTTCAGGTAAGACCTGTGAATTTTGAAAAGACAATTTCTTGTAGAGCATTATTTCCAATGAGATTGTAAGCTCCTCAAATCAGAGACCTCGACCTCTTTCCCATTACTCCTAAGTACATAAAGGATATTCGTTTTTCAAGGCAGACCTTAGTGTGGAGATGGATATATATAAACTGGCCTCAGGTGCAGACTAGGCCAACTGCCCCATTGGACCCGGTGACCCCCCCACTCCCCTTCAGTGGCCCCCACGTTTTAATTCTGCACGTATATCTGTCTTCCCCACTGCTGTAAGTTTCTGCACTGTCTGTGTTCCTCAATGCTGTGCCCTAGCATGTCCGAGAGTGCCCCAAACATAGCAGGTGCTAAATAAATGTGCACTGATTAACTTACTCTGTGATGTACAACACGTGTGCAAGTAGATGTCATGCACATTTGTGTTCTGTGTCCATCACAGTTGGTTTGATGGTTGGTGGGATATAAGAGGTCCAGGTAACTGGACTAGTTGGTGACTCAGCTTAGAAAAACCAATCTCTTTTTAACTTCAACTTTTTAAATATAAACATTTTTATTAACATATCATTGGTTGACTGTTAGTATTATCTTGGAAGTGTAGAATATGCCCCTTCAAGTGTGGTTTACACAGCACATACCACTGACACACCCATGGTCCTCCACCCTAGTCCACAGCACACACCACTGACACACCCATGGTCCTCCACCCCAGTCCATTGTGCTCTCTTCCCATCTGTTCTCACCCCTCCCTTTGGATTCCTCAGCTCTATGATCAGCTTTCAAGGGTTGGTTTTAAAGTTTGTCTTTGTCAGACCCTTTACTTGGTTTCTCTTATTTCACATATAAGTGACACCATGTGCTGGTTTATTTGACTTAGCATCACCTCTTCCAGCTCTATCCTTGTTGCTGCAAATGGCATGAGTTTATCCTTTTTGATCGCCGCATAGTATTCCACTGTGTATATCTACCATATCCGCTTGATCTGCTCATCTGTGTTTAGGCACTTGGGTTGTGTCCACACCTTGGGCATTATAAACTATGCTGCAGTGAACACAGAAGTGCAGGTTTCCTTTTGAATTAGTGTTTTTGTGTTCTTTGGGTAGATACATAGGAGTGGAATTGCTGGGTCATATGGCAGGTCCACTTTTAATCTTTTGCAAAACCTCCATACTACTTTCCACAGGGGCTGGACCATCTACAATTCACTTGGGCTTTCTTTTAAATTTCCTTGAACAGTTAATGGGGGTCTTGAATTACTCTCAAATTTATAGAAACAGCCATGATACAAACACTCAGAAGGAATATACAGATTCCTAGGTGGGCATTGCACATAAATTCATCAATGATGGCTTCAGCTGTTCCCGGTAGGGCCCCAGTGGTCTCTGCAGAAGTTCCGTGGCCAGAGCTTCTGTAGGTGCCCTGTGGGCGTCAAAGGGCTCCTCCTTGTCAGAAATCCCTGCAGACTCCTTGTTTCTTCTTCATTTGGATTTTTCTGTCTCTCCTGGGGTTTACTAAGAGTTCCTTGGTATTTCCTACAGGCATTTATTTCCCTATACTCTTAGTATCTTTAAGGTATCACTATTTTGGTGTTCAATTTCATGTGGGTATTTTCCCGTATGGATCTTGGACTCCATTTCTGTAGAGGGTCAGAAAAAACACATTTTTTATGGGTCTGGTAACTCATTTTCTTATGAGTCTAGTAGCAAAAGTAGGGAGTGAGAACAGAGAACCATCATTTATTGACAACATAAGTGGCAAAAAATCATCTGCACATTTACCTGTTATATTATTTAACAGTTGCCATGCTGGACACCAGGATTGTTAGCCCTCAGGGTAGTCTCACTGTCCCGTAGGAAGGCCAGACCCCTGCCTTCTTTTCCAGATTCTTCTCCTAGCACCCTTCTTTCCTTTACCAGGCTTGGCCCCAGTGACATCCTTGCTGACCCCTCAAGCTTTTAGGGGTCTGAAATTAGCTTTCCCAAGATGTTGTCAGGCTCACCCAAATGTCACGTTAGAGAAGCCTTCCCTGGCCACCCCATCTAAAACAGCCCCTTACTCTCTAGTCCCTTATCTATTTGATTTCTCTTCATGGGACTTTTCATATCTGTTACATTGCAAACACACACATCTGTGTGTACACAAACACATTTATACGTTTGTGCATGTATATGCACATGCATGTATGTAGATAATGTACACATATACACGTAGTTTCTATTTTCAACTGGAGCACAAATATCCCACAAAAATCCTATTGGCCATTTTCTTGTTTATGGGGACCCCAGCACCTGGATGGCACCGACTGCATGTCGGTACTATTTAAATATTGAGCAAATGCTTCTATTTCAGAAAAGAATGCAAAGGTACTGACTCCCCTGGAGAGCTGCTGGGAGGCAGGAGCTTTGAGCCCATCTCCTCTGGTCACCCACTGTAGCACGTGCCTCCTCCTTCCTACCTCCAGTGCTGTAGGGTCTGCTCGGGAAATAACTGCCCTTGCTCTTCCTTCATACTCAGGTGGACCTGCGCCGCCAGTGGGTTTCCCAAGTTGTGGAAGAGGTGCAGAAAATCGTCCAGCGTCTGACCACAGAGATCAGCTACCAGGATGTGAGATTTCAGGCCGTCCCTTACTCCGACACGTACAACGGGAACCTCAAGGTGAGTGGGTCTCACTCGCCTCAGAGCCCCATGGCAGAGGGGGCCTCCCTGGTAGCGCGGGCGGTTGAGCACCACGCTGTGAAGCTATCTGCAGCCTCTGCAGTGCTGGTTCAATCCCTGCCAGCAGCGGAGATGCCCACATGGCGAGGTGGACCTCTCCTGTCTCGCCCTCTGCTCCCCTCAGCAGTGTATTTCATCAGTCTGCCTGTTCTGTTCCCCACTCTGTCTCTGGTGAGTCCTCTCACCCTCCTGCATATCTGGCCTGTACCCCAGCTCTTGTATAAATAAATAAATCTTAAAAAAATAAAATAACATAGCAGATGGGGAAGCTGAGGCTCAAAGACATCAAATGGCTTGATCAAGTCACATTAGCCCCAAAGCCAGAACTAAAACCAGCTTCTGATGGCGAGATTGAAGTGTAGCCAAGCACTGGTTTGTTTATTGCGCATCTGTGGAGTAGATTGGTGACTGGGTAGAGGGAAATCCAGGGTGTTGATGAGAAAATAGTTGAAAATAAAAGTCTGCATTGTCAGTGGAAGAGGGACATGAAAGAGGAGGCCCTTAGAAAATGCTGGGACAACTGCATTCCTGCTAGAAACCCCGTAGAGCTCTAAGTGACCAGGGCCAGTGTGGGCAACAAGAATTCCTATCACCCCGAAGTGGAAGCAAAGCCATGTCACAGAATGATCTCACTTGACCCTGAAAACAACTTTATGAAACAGGCATTACAGTTCTCTCCCTTTTAGAGATGAGAGAAGTAGGTCTGCCCTTGGTTCCAAACCCCCATACTCCTTTTACCTTAATTTTTTTATGACACATAAAAATTCTTCTCCCTGGTGTTAAATTGAAATGTATTTATGCCATATTTCTCACACCAGACTCAGTTTCTTGATTATAAGGGAAGGATTACATTTTTGATGACTGCATCTCCAGCAACCAGCAGGGTATATGGTCTGTGTAGACACTCCACTCGAACAAATGAGTGAATGAATGAATGAATGAGAAAAATGATTAGCACCTGAACAGAGGTCCATTGCTGTCCAGTACATTTCACAATTAGTGGGCACAGGACAATATTCTAGAACTTCTGGATGTGGGAGCAGAACCAGATCTTGAAAAATTCACCCCAGAGTGAAGATTGTAAAACTAAATTGAATCTTGGGATGTCAGAACATGATCTACCCACACCCACCAGCCCAGCCCAGCCCAACCTAAATTACACAAATATAGACCAGTGATGAGGAACAGAAACACAGCCTCACTTTTCTAGAACTATACCCAAGAAACTTCCTTCTACAGTCTCAGTTAGAATTCATTGTTTAAGATATATCTTCCAAGAATACATATCATGTCCCACATGTGCAGTGTTAAACATAGTTACAGGGGGCATATAAAGATTACTTCCATTTTATTGGATTGTTGGAAAAGTCACGACTCATTTTTACTTGAAAATAGAAAAAAATACATCATGACTTTTCAGCAAGTATTTATTAAGCACCTTTACATGCCTGGCAGCTTAGTAGATATGCTTCTGGGCTCACAGCGAGCAGGTTTAAATAGTGTACAGATGTTGTATGCTATAGTTTAGATCCAACCCCTCCCTATTTTATCTCATAAACTTTCTACGGACACCAGAAATCACGTGAACCCATCATCTTAAGCATCAGACTATTGTTCTCTAAAAATGAGACAGAACCAGTTGTTGCTGGTCACCTGCTCACCTCTGAGTTAGCCAGGCCTGGGCCCAAGGCAAAGGTTAACAAACGCCATTGTCAGAACTTTCCATGAAAAGAGGCGGCTCCTCTGCATGAACAGCTGACTGGCAGAAAAGGTGCAGGGTGGAGTGAGCTGTCATGCAATGTGGTCAAAGGTCAAGTTCCCTTGGGTGCTACTACCCTGCTGACCAGTTTATCCCTGGGACTCTGGCCCTGGCCACTTTCTGCTGACCCGGGCTTAGCTGGGTCCTATAGAAAGGAAGGGGGTAGATTGAGTATTCATGTTTTCCCATTCAACTTAGATAAACCTCAGTAGTCACACTGTCTCAACAAATCACTTCATTTCACCTTTGATTTTTAAGGATTAATCACTAATACTGGCCTTGGGTCATCAGTACAGGAGGAAAAAAAAAAAAAAGAAGGCATTTACATCATTCTTTTTCCTCTCCCACCCTTTATTACGCCAGAGCTTCCAGCCATACCAGGTCACGCATGCTTGGCTGAGGTAGAGCAGGATAGAAAACCATCGCCGAAGAAACCATTGGAAGTCCTAACTCCTAAGCTCAAATTTCTAGCTCTACGATTTATTGGCCATATCACTGAGATCTGGGAGCCCCTCTCTGCTTTAGGCTCCTCATCTGGAAAATGCTAATAAAGCACCCTCACATGCAGCCCTGAAGATCAAGTCAGGACTGCTGGGCTCAGGATGTGCGAAACTCAGTGAATGCTGGTTCCATCCCTGTTTTACCTTCTCCCCCAAACATTAGCTGCCTGCCCCTGAGTTCCAGGTCCAGTTTACCTTTTCCTTGCAGATTCACAGAAGCCAGGACTCAGTGAGTTAATTTCCATGCCTGCAGGGTACAGTGGGTTAGTGGCAGGACAAAGATGGGGTCATCCTATAACCAGCAGGAGCAGCTGTTCACGCTGAGTTAACCCAGAGACTTGGCTCAGGGGTCAGCTTGCTGAAGCTTTCTGTTGCCTCCCAAGTATGTGGACTCTCACTTGTCCTGTTTTCTCCCAGGTTCTAGGCCCCTGCCAGTTCCTCGTCACTGTGCCGGTGAAAGGCCTGGCAGGGTATAGGGAGGCCCGGGAGCAGCGCTGGCGGTACTACACCCTGCAGGGCGCCAGGCTGCCCTGCCCTCTGCGTGACCCCGAGGCTCTGCAGCAGTGGCTGGCAGTAGAGCAGTTTGTGAAGAGCCTGTGGCAGTGGCACGAGGATGATGTGAACATTGAGGGGGACATTGTGCCTGCCAAAGTCCTCCAGGTATTACGGAAGCTGGTGGAAAATGCCATCAGGGCCTGTGGCCTCACAGGTGAGTGGCTCACAGAAGTGTGCGGGGAACTTCTGGCTTTCCTGGGCACCACCTGCAGCTCATATCCCGGCATTGAGACAGTCATGTGCTCTTCACATCTGTTCAATCCCTGTGCTAGGAACTAGTTCTTTTTCTTCCTGTTGTGACACACAGAAGGATGGAATTCATGCGCACAACACATTCCGTGGAGTTGGGTAGGTTTCTGCCCTGACGAGGACAGACATTCTTTGGGCTATACACCCTTTCCAGGAAGTTAGCTGAAAGCCTTGTCCTTTTTTAAAATAGTGAATTACTTAAAAATCTTAGATCTTAAAAAAGTAAATTATTTACAAACCTTACATCTTATTAACACTCTTCTACTTTGACACCCTCCAATTGCCTGCACTACCCCCGGGGATAGAGATACCACATTTGGAAAGCAACTTGATCAAAACACAAAATCAGAGGATGTAAAGAGACTGATAACTCCAAAATCTTAAACTGTAGGACTGAGGCATATATGCATGCTCAAACTCATGCCCACACACACACCCTTTTTGTCTATACAAAGTAAGAAGGTATATTTCAAACTGGGAAAATAAAGGTTAGTTACCTTAATTATCAAAGAATATTTATAAACCTATAAGAAAAAACATGAACAAACTAATAGTAATAATCACCAAAAACATGAATCACAAAGATTATAAAGATGCAGTCAAAAGAAAAATATTCCATTTGCCATGGACTTTGAGAAATGTGCAATAAATCACCTTACACACTGACAGTAGGAAAGGTGTGACATGCTTGGTGCAGGGGAGGGGAGGGTGAAATGTTGGCATTTTTACACACTGCTCTTGAAGTGTAAATTGGTGCCTGATTTCTAAAGGCAAATTTGTCCACTTTATTTTTATAATGTGCTTACTTAGCAAATCAGCAATCCCAGTTCTAGAAATATATGTCCACAGATGCACAAAGAAATAAAGATATCCGCGGCCATGGGCTTGATCATCATAAATAATTAGACATAATCTAGATGACTAACAAAGGGAAATTGACTCCATTGTGTGGCCTCTGCCTGGGGGCTATTAGACGGCCTTTGCAAAGATTGAGGGGTGTGTGCATACGCACACACACACATACACAGAGTTATGCAAAAGGCCCAGGCTAGATAATTTAATGAGAAGCCAACGTGTTGAATAATGTACAATTCCATTTGAATAGAAAGAAAAGGAACTGTGTGTCCATTTGCTTAATTAGCTGAACAGCTGGGAAAGTTTCCAGAATGGATGTATCTCAGGGTGTGTATCCAGCATAGGACACTGCTGTGGATTATTTAATTGAATGCTCACAGCAACCCTATAGACATTTATGTTTCTGCCTATTTTACAGATGAGAAAACTGAGATTTAGAGCAATTAAGTGACTTGCTGAAGGTCATGCACCAGTTCAGCAGGACAAGCGGCAGAACCAGAGTATGGGTGGGCGGGCAGCCGCCACTCACCTCTTCACTTTGCAACACCACAAACAGTGAAAGTGCAAATAAGAAATTCAAATCAGGTGCTTTAGTAAGGAATGCTGAAATGGCAGACGTTGCAGTGTTCCTGTAGGACAGCTCTGATGAGATGCAGACAATAAGCTCTTTATCACAGCCAGCCGAGAAGAGGAATGTGTTCCTTTTGAACAAAAGCCTAAGACAATGAATGAATGAGCTTCCATTTTCTTCTCGGAGCAAGGAGAAGGAAAGTAATAGATCCCAATTCAAGACAAATCATCCTTTTCTGCAATGAAGGCAGACAAAAACCAAGTGTGTGTCTTTTGGAGATAGGGGATCCGGGGGGGGGGGGCATCCCTGGTGGTACAAGGGGTTAAGGCGCAGCACTATGAAGCTATTTGCAGCCACTGAAGCATGAGTTTGATCCCTGGCCAGGGAGCAATCCACATGGCACAGCAGACCTCTCCTGTCTCCCCGCTGCTCCCTCAGCAGTGTATTTCAGTAGATCTACCTGTTCTTCTCCCTGCTCTGTCTCTGGTGAATCCTCTCACCCACTCATCTCTGGCCTGTACCCCAGCCCTTGTATCCACAAATAAATAAATCTTTAAAAAAAAAAATGACAGGGAACCAGGTTAGAGATGAATTGCACCATGAAAGGGGCAGCATCTGTAGCTGCACTTGTCTATCCCTCCTCTTCAAGAGGCCATGAGGGCCCCTTCCCAGCCACTTGATCCTGCAAGCCAGGGGTTCTGACATATGTAGAAGAAGTTTTTAGTTACAAGGGCTCATGATGATAAATAACATACCTAAGGCTAGGCTGACTTAATGGGTGGTAGAGACAAATACCAGGTGAGACTCGAATAAGAGACTGGTTCAGCTCAACCCCATCAATGGTCAAGGATAAATAAGGGGACCAAGGTTGTCCCCAAACAACATCGGGGCATCTGGGTGGGATGGAGGGAGACAGAGAAGAATGGCTGGGCTTCATTTTATAGTAGCAAGTGTTATACCTTTTCTTTGTATTCTGTGTCTCTTTCTTGAGCTTTCTGAAAAGGAGCTATTCGTGTAAAAGAAAAGGCACCCTAAAATCCTTGGGATCGTGGGGAGAAAGGAAAAAAGCAAAGGTAGCCAATAATGCAATTGTCTAGCAACGTTTCTGTCCATATTGACTTGGCTGGTTGTCCAGTCTTGAAGTCAACAACCTCCGCCACCACTTGGTGTGTTACTGGCACAGTGGGAGACCCCCACAAACTCCTTCTATGAACACTTGCAGTCAGCCAAGATTTCTTTCCTCATTGTCCTCATGTCATCTCCCGCCAGATAAGGTGAGCATGCTAACCAACAGCTGTTCGGTCCGGGTTGTTGTGGAAACATCTATATGCCAGGTGGAGCTGCAGCTGGCCCCCGCCGTGGAGATCCCTAGCGCCTGGCCCGAGAAAGCCCGGTGGCCTCGATGTCCGAAGCGCTGGCCTTGCCCCGAGAAAGTGAAGTGCATCAAGGTATCAGTGGGAGCCCCATTCAGCAGGACAGAGCTTAGCCAGCCACAGCCTCTCTGGTGCCAACCACCTTCCAAAGGAGATCTGAGGTCCCCCTAGGTCACAGTTAGCAACTGTGCACCCCCAAACTTCCAGTGACACCCAAGAACCTGCTAGAGATACAGTTTCCTGGGCTACTGGCCCTACTGAGTGACATTCGGTAGACAGGGCTCAGTGACTTTTAATAAGCTTCCAAAATGACTGGGGTGCAGGTTCAAACTGCACCCATCCAAAAGAGTGGGCACCACCTCTCTGATGAGCTGCCCATGTGCCAGGGGGATGGCCAGGAGGCTCCCCCACAGGTGTGTCCTGCTTGCCTGGTCCCCCAGACCAGCAAACCGCGTCAGAGCGGGCTTTCTGCTGGACACCACCACCCTCCTCACTTTCCTGTGTTGTTCCTTCCAGTCCCTCGGGTTTACCTTGCTGGCCTGTTCAAATTACCACTGGCAGCTGAGCTTCCCGCGGGCCGAGCAGGTGCTGCTGGCCCAGCTGGACGAGGACGGGGGCTGCCGCCGGCTGTGCTTTCAGGCCTTGAGGCAGATGACAGAGGACGTCTGGTGTCCGGGGAAGCGGCCTGTTCTCACGGCCCACCACCTGCAGGTGAGCAGCAGCGGGCAGCTGGGGGTAGGAGGTGCCCTCCACAGCCAGGGTGCTGGCAAGAGACTCTCTGAATGGGTGCAGATGTGCCAAGTTCAGGGTGGGGCGCTGGCGTCCATATTGCCCTCGGGGTTACTCATTATAGAGACATGTGACCCTGGCCGCTGGCGTCCACCGCAGCCCTGCCCAGAGTAGGACCCTCTGCTCCTGCCCTTCGCCCTCCTGCTCCCCTACCCCTTTTCTTTCTTCTTGACTTTTCCTCTTTTCCTTTCTGTCTCTCCCCGACTTTCATTTCACTCAACGACCAATCTGACTCCCACCACATGCTGGAAATCTTGCCGAGGTTCAGGAATGAATTTCACACGTGGTTTCTTGAGCTTTCGAGAAATTCTCAGACTCCTCCTGGTAAAATCTTTTGAGTTGCTCAAACCTCAGATAAATTCATGTTTTCCTGGATGTTATGACTCACTCAGTCTGCTCTCTAACCCAAGTGTCGCCACTCAGGATCACACACACACACACACACACACACACACACACTCACACACCCCACAAAGGTGGAAACCAGGAAATGCTGCGGTTTCACTCACAAACCTGAACATTCAGGTTCTAAATCATCAGGCAAGGGTTTTCCGTGGCTCTACCCACACCTGCCTCCCTTTGCCCCAAACCCAACATTCAACACTCACAACTGTGTCCACACACACACTCTCAGCAAATGTCATGAGTCCCTGGGGTCAGACACCTACCAGCATCTCCCACTTGCTCTGTGCCTAGACGTGCAAAGTGAACAAAGCAGTCAGGCCCCTGCTCTCTTGCGGCTTCTGGTCTACAGGGAGGCAGGCCCTGGTCAGACTATCCCAGAGGAGCCTGGGGACACTCAGATGAAGCATTGCTCTGGGGAGTCTCAGGCAGCAGGGTCTGACCTGGACAGTTGGTCTGGAGGGTCAGGGAGGCGTTTCTGGGGAAGTGATCTCCAATCTTACTCCCGACCTCTCAAATTGGATTCATACACAGAGACCAGGATGCTTGTGTGACACCATGGTCTGCAGCCTGCTGGGTTGGGAAGCACCAGTCCCCGCCTAGGTCTCCATCCTGGGGCTCAGCCCTTCTCTCTGACCTTAAGTCCAGCAAGCACAGGTCCCTGGGGTGGTGTGTGTCCTGTCTGTGTGATGCCTGCCCCACGTGCTCCACCTGGGCCTCCTCTGAGCTGTCTCTGCCTCCAATGGAAGCGACTTCAGGACAATGACCGCGTGGGTTTTTACTCACCCCGTCACTCCCCAGGCTCCCTGAGTAGTTGCTCAGTAAATAATCAATGGTCAATGACCGAATGACTTCACTTCTTACTCAGTTTATTCTCTTCCCCCAAATCACTCATCTTTGTTTTGCTTCCTGGCCTTCCCTGATAACCTGTCCTCCCTGACCTGCCTGAGAATCTGGTAACTGGGGCCTTTTTCTGGAATTTCGACATTCTCAGCCTATCCCCAAGCACTTACCTAAAAACACACAACTTGTTTTCCTGGCTCAAGGGTGTGTCTAATTTGTTTTGGGAACTTTACTTTCTCGCTTACCTTTCTAGAGACCGACTAGGAAGAGCCAGAACTGAAAAGCAAACTCTAGTCTGTTTCAGATCAAAACCACATCATCTTGCCTGGCGATTCCATTGCCTCACCATTAAGATACACGGAAAGTCATTGAGTGGCGTGAATATTTTTTTTTTAAGATTTATTTATACAAGCACTGGGAGGTGAGAGAATTCACCAGAGCCAGAGCGGGGAGCAGAACAGGCAGGAGGACCAAAGTACACTGCTGAGGGGAGCAGTGGGCGCGGCAGGAGAGGTCTGCGCGCCATGTGGGACCCTCGCCTGGCAGCTGGGGATCGAACTGGCGCTACAGAGGCTGCAGGCAGCTTGCAGCCCAGCGCTCAACTGCTGCGCCACTGGGGAGGCCCGAGTGGCGTGAATATTTTAGGCAACATTGAACAGGCCGGCCAAAGGCCTACCAGCCTTGACCGCTCTCAGAACTGCACTCCACCCAAGGATTTCCTTCTAATTCACTGGCTTCTAAATTCCCCAGGAGATTTCAAGGAAATGCCTTAAAAGCTTTGTGTCAGCCTTCCCTGGCCCACCCACATGTCCCTTGCTCATTCTTAAGAATGACCATGGCAGGCCTCCCTGGGTGCAAGGGGTTAAGCACCGCACTATGAAGCAATCCACAGCCTCTGCAGCACAAGTTCGAACCCCAGCTGGCCAGGGAGCAAACCACATGGCGCAGCAGACCTCTCCTGTCTCCCCGCTGCTCCCCTCAGCAGTGTATTTCAGTCAGCCTGCCAGTTCTACTCCCCACTCTGTCTCAGGTGAATCCTCTCATCCTCCCACATCTCTGGCCTGTACCCAGCTCTTATATGCATAAATAAATAAAAATTAAAAAAGAATGACCATGGCAGGGGCTGGGACAGCAGAAGCCACGACAACTGCCTCCTCCACTCTTCAACCCTTGGTCCCAGGGCTGCGTCCTCTCACTTCTGGGTATCACTCCCTCCAAGTGAAGGTGACCAGTGACGAATATGCTACACGCCACAGGGTGATGGCATGAGGGTGTAGCATCTTTGCCGGGGCCTGTAGTCTGGGGAAGGGGGAGGAGACTGGGTTGTTGACCAGCAAGGGTAGGATGTGTCCGTGATGGCCGCCTCACCACTGTCATCCTAAGCCCTCAAATCCTCCCCAAAGTGGTTGTTTCATTGAAGCACAAACTTATCTTTTATCTGCTTGTTTATTCCTCAAACCCACTCAGAGGCATTGGGGCTTGGCCATAATATTTGCTTAGGGAGAGCAAAGCTTAACTCTAAAAGAAATTAAAACAGCATTTTTCTATCTAGGTTGTCTTGACAAACATTATCTCCAACTCATTTACTCAAGACCGGGTAAATGAGTCAAAATATATTTAACTGTGAAACTAGAATCGCTCTTTTATTTTTTTCCTTGAGTACTCAACACCTAATTATTTCTACTCAACATTAATTATTTCACTGAGTCAAAATGTTTATTGACTGCCTCCCCTGGGTCAGTGCCTTTGCTGGGTGCGGTGACAGGCCTCTGCTCTCCTGCAGTTTACAATCTACTGGGGGGTCATGTGAATAAATAGAGAGTCTTTCTGCTTATAAGAAGTACATGTCCAGAGAATGTTAAATGGGTGATCTGAGGGATGAGTTTCCTGGACTAAGAGGGGACAGAGGTGTGCACAGAGGAAGAAGCAGGCAATGGAAGGGCCTGCGGTGGGCAAGATCTGGAATCGGGGCCAGTGTGGCTGGGTGGGTAGGATGAGTGAGAACCTGGGGCAAGATGAGGCTGGGACAGGTAGGAAATGAGCCTTAAAGACCAAACCATGTAGAGGACTGTGTCTTGCTTTTAATTAGCAAAGAACAGGAAGGCTTTGAAGTATTGTGAACAAGAAATAGAGACAGATTTCTATTTCAAGCAGATCACAAGGCTGCAGCGTGGATGCTGACATGTTGCATGGGGACAAGATTAGGTGCAGACTGGTTAGGTGACCTGCGGAGTCTGGATGAGAGGTGGTGGAAGACGGTGATAATATCGGAGGTGAGGATAGGTGGGTAGATTTGAGAAATCCTCAGGCAGGACTTGATTGGGGGCAGCGAGGGAGGGGTGACCCTGAGGTTTGTGTCCTGCCTAACTGGTTGGGTCAGCATCTCTGGAGGCAGAGCAGGTTTGGGGGAGGCAGTGAGTTCGGCCTGGACATGCTGACTGAGATAACTTTCAGATTTCCAAGAGATACAGGTAAGGAGGTGAGAGGGGAGAAGGCGGCTGGAGGACAGACATGAAGTCACCTGCAGTTAATGGGAATTAAAACAGCTGTCGTGGAAGGAAGATAGAGCCAGAGAAGAGGGCCTAGAACGGAGCTTCCAGAAATGCCAATTTTTAAAGACAATTGAAGACAAGTATAGGAGGGAAAGCCAGCCCCGGACACAGTGCTCAGGGAAACACCAGAGGCCTTGATGCTTGGAAGCCAAGTGACCTGGCTCAAGAGGGAGAGGGCAGGAGATGGTCAGGGTGGGCTGAAAGGTTGGGTGAAAGGGCCTGCTGGGCTTGGTAACATGGACTCACTGGGTTTCAGTGACAGCAGCTATTGAACACTGAGGATGGGGGGTCGAGGCAGAGAATCAGAGGAGAGAAAAGAATGACACGCCATGGAGATGATTGTTTGGAAAAATCTAGATTCCCAGAGAGTTGGGGTCCGGGCAGGAGAGAGACATGGGCTTGGGAGGTCAGGTTTGGAATGGTTGAAAGCCAGTGAGGAAGAAGGACATGGATCACATGCAGTTCCTAGAAGGGGACATTCTGAGGCCTGTCAAGGGATTCGTCCCAGCCAGGAGGAGTGGACAGAGCAGAGGGGACGGAAAATGCCCATGGGGCAGAATCGCCAGGAGGGCAGGCTTGAGGGGTAAAGTCAGAGGCAAAGGGGGTGGGGTGTAGACTTAGGGAGAGTGGTAATGGCTGGAAGAGTGGTAAGTCAGCAGAGGGGCGCAGAGACCAGCAGGCAAGATCACCCTAGGCTGGGGCATAAGTTCACGCCAGAACCCACCTGCTGGGAGTCCTTGCTCCCCCTTCGCAGGCCCCGGGGCCCAGTGCAGGTGCCGCGGAGCAGGGTCTGACACCACCTCTCCTTCCCGCAGTCCGTGCTCTTCTGGACCTGCGAGAAATACCCGCACCCGAAGGACTGGCAGGTGTTCAGCCGCGGCTTCCTGCGGCTGGTGAGGAAGCTGCACAAGTGCGTGAGCCAGCACTTTCTGAAGCACTACTTCGTGAGAAAGAGCAACCTCCTGCAGTACGCCAACTCGGGCGAACTGGACGCCGTGGCCCAGAAACTGGACCACTTCCTGAAGAACCCCCAGATCAGCCCGCCCTGAAGCTGCTCTGGCCCGGGGCTCTCGGACACCTCATTCGGCGTGTCCTCACTCTCTGTGGATGGATCCACTCCGATCCTGCCCAGGAGGGAAGCGACGAGCGACAGGAAAGCCCACCGACCCAGCAGCGCTCAGGGCGTGACTGGGCCCCATGGTCTGACCCAGTCCACCCAGCAGCCAAGCCAGCCCGTCCGCCCTCGCTAGCCCCCTCTCTAGGTGACGGCTCTCAGCAGGCTCTCAGATGCTGAGCTAATACATCTGGGCTTGTCTTCCCCGTGCCCAGGCTCCGATCATCAGGCAGGCACAGTGGACACCAGAACCTCAGCTGCTGCCAGCAGTGGTTCTGCAGCCTTTCTGCATCTGCGGGCTCCTTAGTCTCCATTTACAAAATGGGACTGTTCACCTGCCCCCTAGGAGGGGCCGTGTGCCCTGGGCTTTTGAGAGGAAGGCAGGGGACCCACATCGAGAGATACCAGCTGGCTGGTTGGCATGGTGGCTGGCGTTAGCATCCTGGATGTCCCTGCTGCCCGCAGCTCTTCTAAGCTGTGGTTCATGGCTGTGGTTCTGCCTGCTTCCCTGGGGCTCCCCAAGTAGGCGAAAGCAGTGAGGAGTAGTGTAAATCAAGCACGAAGTGCAGCCCAGCCTGCCAGCTGCGCCTCTCCCTTCCCTGTGCATCAGGGATGGGGCATCCTCACCTGGATGGACTGAGCTCAGAGCTGTGATCTGTGGGGAACACTTTGGTGTCACCGACCTCTCACTACCTTCCTTGGCTCACACCCCTTACTCCCTCCTCACCGATAGATGGATGCTGGTGGGCTTTGGGACTGTAGCCAAGAGCACAGTGGACCAGGACTTAACCTTTTGGGTGATCCTGATGGCGAAGACAGGAAATAAATAACAAATACACAGACGTGACGACTGCTCATTAAGCAAGTGTCCTGAAGAAATAAGCAGAGTATTGAACCAGAGCCACAGCAAGATCTTTGAAGGATGAAAAGGCAAACAGCAGAAGGGGAAGGAAGGGAGGCAGCGGGGGAGCTGGAGGGGCGGGCAGGGTCCGGCCACTGGGCCTTGGAAACCTGGTGAGGAATTTGTACTTCATTGTAAAAGTAAAGCTGTGACATTTGGCCACTCCAGAGCAGAGGAGACTCGTGATCTGATTCGCATTTTAAATGTCCATGCTTGTGACTGCATTGAGACCTTCCCACCAGGGTTAGGGCCAGTGGGAGGCCTGGAGCCCACCCATTTGGGATTCACTGAGGCCCCAGAGGCCACCAGCCTGCACAGACATTGATGCGGGTTTCTAGGCGTTCTCCCTGATATCGGTGGTTTCTTCTGACGTTCACTTAATGCTTCTCAACTCAAGGGAGTCCTTGATGACTTAGAGTATTTTCCCCAAATGATAACAGTGGAATTTCTAAAAGCATGAGCTGCTGATTTTTTTTTGACAAAAAGTTACATTTGCAAAATAAAACAATTGTTTTCGGAAATGTACTGCAAGTAAATGTGACCCTGGCTAGGAGAGGAATTCCTAGCCAGCAGTAGGCTGCTAACCTTTGAAAGCGTGAAATGATGAACAATGCAATGCTTTGCTCAGTCCTCAAAACCTGCACTCATTTTTGTCTTCTTGTACCTTGGAAACATCATTTTTGAGAAGGTGGCAGATGTAGTTTGGTTTGGTTTTGAATGATAAAGCTGATGCAAGTTTTATAACAGCTGTGCAGTCACAGGATGCCATAAACTGTAAGTTGGCTGTATCATTGCTCCAAAATTGTGTATGTGTATGGAGAGAGAGCGGGGCAGGACCTACATGCTCTGTCGGCTTCCAGCAGATTCTTCCCACCCGAAGATCCTTACATCAAAGCAGTGCTCGGGCACCTTCCTGAGAGTTCCTGCTGCTGGCCAGCAGAGGGAAGTGGGGGACCACAGATGAAAAGAGGCAGGCTCCAGCCCTGCTGCTCCTGGAGCCCAGCAGGTGTCCCCTCCTTGGCCCCTAAAGCACACCTGGCTCCCCCAAAAGAGAACCAGGAACAGTGGATTCCTGATGATATTAAATTGTTGGCCTTTCTTGCCATTTGGTCCAAAATGACAAGTCTCTGCCTACTTCAGATTTTATAAAGGAAACTGAGAGGCTACCCCAGCCCTTGTTTTCTGGGACAGAATGAGCAGCTCCAAAGATCTTGTCACATTGCTTCTTCCTTCTGGCTTCCCCTGTTTATCTATCTATCTATCTATCTATCTATCTATCTATCTATCTATCTATCTATCTATCTATCTATCTATCCATCCATCCATCCATCCATCCATCCTCTATCTCCCACCAGTAAAGACTCCATGAGGAAGGGGCTTATCTGTATTTTCAGTTATATCTTCACAACCCAGGGAACAGAGTAAGTGCCCCCAAATAATGTGTTGAATGCAAATATTTGCAAAGCTCCTTCAAAAACTATCCTTGGGCTTCCCCTGGTGGTGCAGCGGTTGAGCACTGGGCTGCAAGGCTGCCCGCAGCATCTGCAGCGCCGGTTCGTTCCCCGGCTGCCGGCGAGGGTCCCACAAAAAAAAAAAAAAAAAAAAAAAAACCACTATCCTTTGGGTCCTATACTTTTCCATTCATTTGGGCTCTTTTCTTTCCTTAAAAGCATTACATCATAGAATTTTCTAGTGTGCAGAGACAGTAAAGGTCTTTAAATTCAGAGTGGAAGAAACTGAGATTCAGACAGGTTGAATGACTGTGCTCTAATCACAAACTTTGAGGTGATTTATAATTTCAGGTCTCAAATGCGTTTCCTTTCAGAAGTCCTTGAAACTTCAAAAATGCAAACTTAAGATATCCAGAAAATGAAGCATATTTTTTGGTGATTCTTCCTCATCTCTGCCCTTTGCTCTCACTCAGTCCCCGCACCCTCCACCCCACTTCCTCTTTTGTGGTGCCAGGTCTTCAGCATGGGTGGCCCCCTGTGGGAAGAACATGGGGCTCACCGCGTGCTCTCTCGTCCTTCTTCCATCCCGCCCTCCACTTTTTCTCCTCATAAGAGAGTCAAAAGAGTCTTGTCACTTTTCCCTGGATTTAGAACATACTGGTGGCTTTAAAAGCCATGGGAATGTGGAAGCATTAGGAGATAATCACAGACGATCAGCAGGTGATCAACCAGCAGCCCCTTCATTTCAAAGGTGAGAAGGCAGAGGCCAAAAGAGCAGAGGGAAAATGATTTGATCAAGTTTATTAGATGCCAAACTGAATTCTTGATTTTGCCTGGCAGATCTAGAGCTCACCATAGTAAATGGGGTCGTGATTCAGTCACTTGTGTCAGCCAGAAACCCAGGAGCTGCCCTTGAACCCTCTGTCCGTCACCCAACACCTTCAATCCCCCAGCAAATTATTTTGGCTTTTCTTTCTAAATAGAGTCCAAGGATGACGCCCACACCCTCCAAGCGATCTCCGCCTCTGGGGCAAGAGGTTATCCTCCTGTTCTTTCAGACTTGCTGCAGGGGACTTTTCTTGTATCCACTCTTGCCACCCACCCATCCCACTATCTCCCCCTGCAGGAGCCAGAGTGACTTTTTCAACATGAAAATCAAATTCTGTTTCTTCCCTGCTCTAATCCTTCCAGGAGCTTCCCAACCGTCTTAAGAAAAAAAATATTGAATCTCCCCAAAAGGTCTGCCTTTCCCTCTGCCCTCCCCCACACACCTTGTAGTGCTGGCTTCCTTGCTTTGTTCCAAACACACCAAGCTGGTTCCTGCCCCAGGACCTTTGTACCTGTTGGTCCCTATGCTCAGAAGGCACTTGCTCCCTATGTTGACATAATCCACTCCCTCCTGGCCAAGGTACCAAATGAGCACCAATGAGCACCCCAACACCCTGTCCCCTTACTACTCTACTTTCCCCGTGGTGGGTTGGCTGTTCCCCTGTGAGAATGTAAGGTCCCTGTGGGCAGTGACTTGTTCAGTGTTGTGTCTCCTGCCCCAGACCACCACCTGGAGCACAGCAGGTGTCAGGGAGTACCTGCCAAGTGGAATGAAGGACAGAATGGTTTTGCTCCATGATGCATCTGCTTGGTGGCAGGGTCTGGACTTGAACTGAGGTGATCTGACTCTCAGGCCAGGCTCCTCCCCTTACAAAGTAACATTTTGAGGGTGGAAGGGTCACATCTTTAGCTTTGGAGAAAGAAAAATTGCCTCTGGCTCAGGAGCTCAGGAAGCCTTTTCTCCAGGAAGGGCCGGCTCCTCTTCTTACAGTGCAGAGCACCATTGATGCAACCACAGGGCCCAGGCTGACGCTGCACAGGCCGTCTGCACACTCTCTGTACACACAGTCCGGTCACACACATGCAGACTGCACGCTCACACTGCACATGCAGACTACACACTCATTACATAGACTTCACACACAGTCTGCACACTCACTGCACGTGCAGGCTGCACACTCACTGCACTCACCCTGCAGAGGGGCCAGCGCTGCTCCAGGGCCTCCAGGAGACAGCCACCCATGGAGGCTGCTGACTCATGTTTCATGTAGTGGGTGTTTCCTGGACAAGGCTAGCCCAGCACCTCCATTTTGAGGACTGTGTGACCAGCACACACACACACACACACACACAGAACTTAAACAAAGCACATCAGAAAATTGCTCCGGCTTTTACCCTCCCTTCCTGCCAAGCCTGGGGACAAAGCCGTGGTCCTGGCAGCAAGACACTGTCCCATTCTCTTTGTCTTTGAGTCTAGGCCATCCATTTCCTCTCATTCAACCAACTTTATTCTTGGCGGTGTGGCTTTCCTTTGTGAGCTTGTATCTTCTGTTCTCAGACTGTGTGGCCCTGCACTCCCCTGTCAGGACCTGACCCGCACACACGGGTCGCCGAGGCTCCTGCGGGAGAGATGCCACTGTGCGTGGACACAAGGGGACCAAGCGCCTGAGCCATCCAGAGCAGGACGCTGGACCATCACGTAAGAAGGAGCCTCCCTGCTCAGCAGACGGGGGCACTAGGGTCTTAAGTGAACCCCAACTCTTGAGAAAGAGTGCTTGAAGCCCAGGTGAGCGAGGCAGCTACCTGGCGTGATGACAGGTGAGGTCTGGCTCCTGTGGTGGGGGTAGCGAGCCCTGCGCTCCCCACTTAGGAGTCATGGGGCTCTCGGGCTGGACCCCCCTCACCTCTCCTGCCCCCTTGCTGGATGCTCTTTGCCAACACGGTGAGATATGAGGCGCATCAAAGATCCCGGACTCTGATCTGTGCCCTTGACGACCAGGCTCTCGAAGGAGCGAGGCGCAAGAGGGGGGGCCGGGCGCCCCCGCCCCGCCTCTGCTGGTGGATTTAGGCCCTATGGGGGAGGGGCCCGGGGGGGAGGGGCTTCATGTGGTCCCCCAAACCGCGTCCTGTGCAGGGAGGTGCTGGCGCGAGGACCGGAGGGGCCGGCGTCGCTGCAGCTCTCCAGCGGCAGGGGGCGCCCCCGGGCCTCGGCGCCCCGCGAGGTGGGGAGGGCGCGGCCGGCGGTGGGGGAGCAGGCGGGGTCGCTGCGGGCCTCGCGGCGCCGCGCCCGACTCCGGGGCGCTCCAGGGCCTCCGCCCAAGCCGGGGCCAGCAGCACCTGCTGGGGCGGCCCGGGGGAGCCCCGCCCCTCTGCTGTGACCCCGCGCTCATCCCGGGCCCAGAGAGGCTGTTCCGAGCCACTGGGGGGGCTGTGCCCACTCCGGACACCTCTTTCTAGTGGGGGGTACTTATTACGCGAGGGAAGGTGCGGGCACCCCAACACAGCCCAGGGCTCCTGCAGACACCTGTGCGCTGCCGCGGGGAGCTCAGCAGCTTCCCGGACAAGACCCAGGGGATGCCTCTGCAGGAAAGACACCAGATTTGCAGAGACCTCCTAGACATGCCAGGCACATTTTGGGGGGGCTTTCTGTTTTATCTCATTTAATCCCCTCAACAGCCCTGGGAGGTGGGTGAGCGGCTTCAGAAGAAAGTCCTTTTGCCCGTGAGCATTTGCAGACTCAGGAAAACAGCTGCCCAAGGCCCCGGCCCACTGGGTGTGGCGGAGGCTGCTTTGTGCATTTGCCCTGATGCATTTTTCTCAGCGGGGCGCGGGAGCAGCCCCTGGAGAGGAAGCCCGGTGGGGCCGGCCCCAAGCTCCCGAGGTCTCCGCAGCGCAGGGGACTGGCCCACGGGAAGCAAGGAGGGGGCCTGGCAGGGGGCCTGGCAGGGGGCCTGCCCCTCTGCCCTTGACATGGCCCACTTCGCTGGCATGTGCTTGGGCCAAGGTCCTGGAGAGTCGGGGCGCAGTTGGCGTCCTGGAATGACTGGCAGAGAGGAAGCCGGTGGTAGAATTTGCCCTGGGCTAAAATTTTCTAGTTGCACCTTTGAACGCTGTAAAAAAAAAAAAAAGTCCTCAAATCTCACAGTCAGGAGAGTTAATCATTTACTCCCTCCACTGGCCAGATGACCTTTGCCATGTGGTAGGGATTTTGTTTGCTTTTCTTAAAAGTTCTAGAGTTTGTCATTGGATCAGTGTCCTTCAGGTGAGGAAGAAGAGGAATTTGGGGTCCAGTGCAAGGCTTGGTTTTCTTCCACCCTCCATCTCCCCAGAGCCGGGGAACATTTTATCAGTGGGAGGTTGTGAATGGAGGACTCAGAGCTGTTGATCATTAGAGTCGTGGCCCCCTTTGGGAAACCCCCCAACACACACACACACAGAGCCCTCAAAAAAACCTAAGCCACTCCCCATAGTGCCCCTCCTTCCCACAGAACCTTTGCTCCTATCTGGGTAGCAGCTAAATTCACCAACAGAGACAGCCTCTCTATTTCATGTGCAGCACCCTAGGCTGTTTAGCACTTAGATGTAAATTAGGACCCTTTCAAGTTTAATATTTCAATCCCTAAAAGTTAAGTAGAATGAGGGAGTCTCACTGGACTGTTCCCCAAACTCCTTGGCCTCAGGTCC